CGTGGATCAACTTATTTTCCTTTAAAATTTTTTAAGATTATTGCAGTATACAAAAAAAATAGATGAAGCAAACCTAGAAAACCTAAGACTGCTTAAGAATAACATACTTAAATATATTACTGTTGTTGCAATTTTCCTCTTCACTTTTTGTAGCTTTTGGGTGACACTAGTGAATCAAACAAGGGACGTGGTGGCTCAGTGGCTAAGATGCTGAGCTTGTCGATCAGAAAGGTCGGTGGTTTGGCGGTTTGAATCCCTAGTGCCGCATAACGGACTGAGCTCCTGTTATTGTCCCAGCTTCTGCCAACCTAGCAGTACAAATGCAAGTAGAAAAATAGGGACCACTTTTGGAAGGTAACAGTGCTCTGTGCGCCTTCGGCGTTTAATCATGCTGGCCACATGACTATGGAAACTTTTTCGGACAGCGTTGGCTCTTTGGCTTTGAAACGGAGATGAGCACCACAACCAGAGCTGGAAACGACTAGCACCTTTACCATTTTACCTTCGTGAATCAAAAATTGTGTTCAAATTATGATTGGATGTGCAGTACAGCTCATCTTGTGAATTTCTAAAATAAAAACTATGAAAATCTCTGCAGAATATCTACAGATATATATCTGTAGAATTGTGTTATGTATGCATGCTGTAGTTTTCATCAAGAATTCCAGCAGGAATTTTAGTGTTACTTAAAGTTTGATGTTCAATCTTAAGAATACATGTACATATTCTAAATAGCACAAAACTTTGATTTATAAAGGCCATTTTTTCTTTGGATCTTCAGAGCTGCCATCTTTATAACTTAATGTTGCTTAATATAAAGGACAATTTATTTTTATTTTCAAAGCCATAGTGTTTATGTTCCTCCTTAAATCTGTTTCTTTATGCAGCATAAAAACAAATGTATCAGCAAGGCTTTCTAGATTTGCTTCATTAATTTCTATGAATACTGCAATTGTCTAAAAATGTTGAAGGGAAAATATGTTGTTCCATGTAAACATAATGTTTATGAAGTGATTGAAATCACTACATAATCAGATTTGTTATGTTATCACGTTCAAAGATGAATGACTCATTCAGCTATGGGGATGTGTTCATTAAACTGCCTTCAGTGAGAATCTAAAAGGAATACTTTAGTATATTAGGAGCAACTGTTTCTCTTCTATGAAACAGTAGGTTCTGTTCCTATAAAGACATATATTAAGGCTGTTTTGTTTTGAAACAGTCTGGGTGTGAAATATGTTGTCTAAGTATTTTCTAACATTCCAACCTTCAAATGTTTTGAAATATTAAGTTTGAAATGCTTCCAAAATGCTGAAAGAACTGGTATTGTACTTGAGACTGGAAGTTTTGCAAAATTTCACATTTTGAAATTAAACAGTTGCACATACTGCACATATCAGTTTTAGTCTTCTTGCATAGAACATTAAGCTTATTGAAAAACTAACTTGAGATAGATAAAATGATTAGAATGCAAATGGAGATAAAGGAGAGCCTAGTTAAGGTGCCAGATCAGGAGCAGAGTCCCCAGTTCTAGTCTTCCTTTGGGGGTAAGAGTAGTGGGTGACTTTGGGCCAATTGCTTGTCCTAAACAAGGAAATTTTAAAAAATCCCAGAAAAAGACAGTGTCAAACCACTTTTGCAGTGTTGTCAAGAAAATCTCTTATGAAGTAGTCAGGTGTCAAAATTAACTCAAAATATACTAGGGAGAAAAAGAGAGAGAGATAATATTACTGATGCCTGCTATATAAAAGATAGTGTTAACCTCTTTGATGCTTGCTTGGTATTGGCTGCCATAGTAATGGGGAGTGGGGGAAGAATGGCATTTGGGTGGGGAAGTGAGCTGGAGTGAAGACGGTTTGTGTGAACAAAAAAGCATTGCAATAGCAATAGCAATAGCAGTAGACTTATATACCGCTTCATAGGCCTTTCAGGCCTCTCTAAGCGGTTTACAGAGAGTCAGCATATTGCCCCCAACAATCTGGGTCCTCATTTTACCCACCTCGGAAGGATGGAAGGCTGAGTCAACCCTGAGCCGGTGAGATTTGAACCGCTGACCTGCTGATCTAGCAGTAGCCTGCAGTGCTGCATTTAACCACTGCGCCACCTTGGCTCTTACCAAGGTGGCGCAGAAAAAGGAAGGGATACTTTCATGATCTACTGGAGTTGTTTATACCCAGTCAAGGTTAACCGTCCTGGAATACCAGATGGGTGAAAACACCTGAAAATGTGCCCCACATGACACCATATGGGATGGGGATTGGACATTCAGCCTGAGTCCTTGGTGGAGGGATTTGGGGAAACTTTCAATATGTAACTTTCGCGCCTTTTGCTTCAGGTCTTGCTTTTCTTTTGTTGCTATCATTTCAGCCTCAGTAAAAGTACCTCTTCTCTACAAACATGGAGTTGGGAGTTTTCTTTCTTTGGTTTTGAATGGAGATATGCCTGACAGATGGTGACAAAGTCCTAGAATTCCATGTACACAAAAAACCAAAATGCCACATACATCTTGCGTGCCCTTAAACTCTGTATCCTTTCCTATCACCTTCCTTATAAAAAAAAGGTTGCAGGGGCTCTGCCCTGCAGATAATCAGATGAGTGCAATTCTCTGGTTGAAGTTGGATTCCATGGAACAGATCAGATTGTTGCAGTTGTACTGGTCTCTCTGCTGCACAACCTTGTCCTTGCTTAAGCTGCTGGATTTCCATTGCTGGGCTGGTAGTTGGGATCTTGAGGCTCTTGGTTTTGAGGAACTTCAATTTACTATCTGGTGACATCAAGTCCAAGGCAGCTCAGGAGATCCTGGCAACCATGGACCTGTCCCATGTCATTTTAGGCCTGGCACCTATTGGGAGTTAAACATTGGATCTGGGTTTTGTTACAGGGTAGTTGAGATATGTTCGGATTTTAAATGGTGTTATTTGCCATTATCCCATTGTTATGGTCAGATTGCTTTTTGGTTCATTGGTGACCCCTACCATGAAGAGGGGATATCTGTTAGGTTGCCCTGCTCCAGATGACTGATAAATCCAGAAGGAGTTGGGTTCCAGAAGGAGTTTGGTGATCGCTACATGGATCTTATGAGCAGTTCAGCTGAGGCCTTAGTTATAGCCTCAGCTGAACTGGGCATGGGACTTGATCCCAGGACACACCTTAGTTCTCTAAGGAGCTCCAGGAAATGAATTGGAGATGATTCTTGGAGCATCATTGGAGAAAGATAAAGAGTGAATCCATCTCATGTTAGGGATTACAGTGTGGTGATAGGCAGTGAAATATTCTTTGTTTTCTGTTGAAATTGTATGTACTGATAGCTGCATGAAGTCTTTTAAAGTTTGACCAAATAAGGTCTTTTAGATTTACCTGGAGCAAATTTAATTCTGTGTCTCCTGAAGAACAGTCAAAATTTTCTAGCCTCTAAGTTTGACCATCTGCTTGCTAGATCTAGGTCTCCCCTGGACAGTTATCGTAAAACTATCTGGCAGGTGACCTATGGTTGGGTTTTTGCAATTATCTCAATTTCCTTGAGTGAAGGATTAGCCCCATGGGCCTTTTGGTAATCAAGAAGTTATCATTGGAGTCAATGGTCCTGGACAATTATCATCCAGTCTTTCATCTTTCCTTCTTTGGAAAGGTGGTGGACAGGGTTCAGCTTCAGAGAACCTGGAAGAAATGCGTTTGTTTGAATCCATTTCAGTCAGCCTTTCTGCAGTCTAGAAATGATTTTAGAATTAGTAAACGAAGGTAAACGTACCCTATTTTCAACTTAGTTATAAATAACTTTTTATGCTTGTATCATTTTCTAAAACAGGTGGAAATTGCTTGACATGCCATAATGCATGACTTGAACCTATGTTATTAATATAAAAATATGCATAGATTATCTCTCATACTTATATTCTAGGTTTAGGTAATGATAAGATATTCTTAGCATTTCTGCTAGGAATTACTGGTATTTTAAAATCATTATTGTTATTTAAATAATAATCATATTTTCATGAACAATGCAGCATTTTATTTTAGCATGTGACACTAATGGCTCTAATTTGCTAAACTAAACTAGGTTTTGTAATTCTAGGTAAATCATCAAACTGGGAAGAAGAGAATTGGGGTTCCTGGGATGAAGCAGAAACTCAAGAGCCTGTAAGCCTTTTTATTTATTCTTTATTTAATATATTAATTATATCTTTTATAAACAAGCTCGATATCTGTGTCAAAACATTTTGAATAATACATTAAAAACTGAAGTTCATTAATCAATTTGTAATGCATAATACACACATTTAGGTTGAATACAGATTGCCATATAGCTATTCATTATTGTCTGCGTGATTTTCCTCTGTATTATGTGATTTGTCTCTCTATAATGTGATTTGTCTCTGTATTGATGGCATTTCAGGACAGGTAACAATATTACAATTAATGAAACAAATGTATAATTTCGATAATGTTTAAATGCTTTCAACCGTATATTAAGATTGCAGTCACATTGCTAACTTGCATATTCCTTAAATGCTAATATTGTTATACGTAACTGTTTTAAATTATATATAGCTATTTTTTGCTCAGGAAAGTAACAACTTCAATAATCAACATTTATAGGAAGAAGAAGAAGACTTAGCATCCAAAACGCAAGCAAGTTCCTGGCTTCAGGACTGTGTAATATCTTTGTCGCCTGCAAATGATCTCATGGTAATAGCTCGTGAGCAGAAAGCAGTGTTTTTTGTCCGTAAGTGTTTTTTTTTAATGTATTTGAAAATATATTCCAGTAAATATCTTTAATTGAGATTCACAAATAGTATTCTGAATAAGAATAGGTTATGATTAAAACCACATACCTTGATAGTCACTGATGTTTCTATTTATCATGATAAATGAAGAACGATTGTTTTATAACAACTATTCTCTTAAAATCAATCTACTAGCTTCACAGTCTTATTGTATTTTTCGGACTATAAGATGCATCGGTGTAAAAGACGCACCAATATTTCAAAGAGGTAAGTCAGGAAAAAAGGTTTTTGTCCTCCCCAGCCCTCAGGAGCACTCTGCAGGCTTCAGCAGGGCTCAGGGAAAGCAAAAATGCCCCTGTTCTTCTCCAAAATGAGGGCATTTTTCCCTTACTCCAGCCCTGCTGAAGCCTGCAGAGTGCTTCTGGGGGATGGGGGAAGGCAAAAATGCCCCCATTTTTTTGCCCATTTGTCACCAAAACTGGGGCATCTTTCCCTTCCCCCCAGCCCTGCTGAAGCCTGGGGATGGTAAAATCACAAAAATGGTATGCGGGGGTGGGGCTTCAGGAGGCCAAAAATAGCTGTATATGGCATATAAGACGCACCAACATTTCCACACTCTTTTAGGGGGGTGGAAAGGTGCATCTTATATTCCGAAAAATACGGTATCTCTGAAACTGATATGTGTGATAAGTATATTGTGAAATGTATGGTGATATTGCAAATAATAAGCCTCCACATTTCTTGATACTTTAATCACATATATATGATAATCAACACCCCTAACTCAAGTTTTGCTAATAAATTTGAATTCCATTTTAACCCTATATACATATATACCCCAGTACTAGGGTTAAATAGACGTTTGCTTCTCAAGTAGCTTTTATTTTCTTTGAAAATGTTGGTTCCTATGACTTTCTTACCTTTGTGCCTCTTGTTTTCTTTGGATGAAAATTGGTTTCATATGTTTTCATGATTTAGAGTGGATAGGGCTTCTTCACAAGTTGGTAATTGATTATCTTGTTATTTGTAATGTAAATAATTGAAGAAAGAGATTCACTTCTCTTAGATTATGTTAACTTTGTCCGTCCTCCCCCAATCTCAGCTATCTGTACCTATAATGGTGATATTAAAATAATTAAATTGGATGGAGTCATTGTGATGACTCACTGAATTCTCAACTGAAAGGCAATTTTACAGATCCCTCTTTTATCTTGAAAAGCTACTCTCGTGGCAGAGAAGATTCCAAATTGGAGAAAAACACAAGGATGTTTATTACATAAAAATTACATCAACCAGGCTTGTATTGAAATTTATTGTGATATATTTTAATAATAGAGCAACTTGGCTTAAGAATAACTTTCCGTTTCACCAGATGCTTAGACACATCAAATTGTACCATAACTAAGCTTCTTATAATGTAAAATGGAAGATACTAAATATAAAATTAATTCATTACTGAATTTTAGTGAAAACTAATGTAATTACTTCCTTGTGTTTTGTTTATAATGATCCACCTCAAACCAAATTGCTAAAGAACTCTGTCATTCACCTAAGCATTGTCCATAA